TAAAGTTTTCAAAAATAGATATCATGGTTAGTAGAGGCCGATCTTTGATCGGGCGAGCGGGGGTGCTCACGAAGTGACCTTTCCCTCTCGTACCCAAGTTCCCGAGCTGAGGCAACTTTGGTGATGACGGACACGTGGCCTTAGGCAACGAGTTAGGGTTTCCTAAATTTTTCCCAAAATAAAGTATTTAGGTGGCGACTCTGTATCTGGCAAAGCAGTCCATGTTTGACACTTCTTTCAAAATCTGTTTTCTCAAAACGATTTACCAGATTTGGACTCTTTGGTTCAGATTTAGAACTGTGACAATTTGAGAGTCCGAGCTGTAGTGACCCCAATACGAACGGAACGGGACTCATCCCTCCCGGGGCGTTCAGGGACGTCTACACACACCAACGGCGTGAGCAATATCCGACCTTGTACTAACCATGGTGTACATCAAAGAACCAACTGCTAAAGCATGAGGAATTTTCAACATATCTTCCTTATCTTTTTCACTTGAAGTACATTGATTCGAACTAAGCTTGAAGTGACCCACAAGTGGACAACCAACCGGCTTTGCTTTATCCATGTTGAACCTCTCAAGAACTTTCTCAATGTAGCTTTCTTGAGACAACCAAATCAGCCCCTCTTTGCGATCACGAACAATTTTCATACCAAGAATTTGCTTTGCCGCCCCAAATCTTTCATAGCAAAAAACTTGCTCAACTCTAATTTCAACCTGTTAATCATAGTGTAATCTTGATCCACAATTAACATGTCATCAACATAAAGCAAAAGAATAATAAATTTACCATCCGAGAAATTTTTCACAAACACACAATGGTCCGAAGTGGTTTTAGAAAAACAATTATTCATCATGAAAGAGTCAAATTTTTTATACCATTACCGTGGAGCTTGCTTGAGACCATACAAACTTTTCTTTAATTTGCAAACAAATTTTTCTTTCCCTTTTTCCACAAAACCTTCCGGTTGCTCCATGTAAATTTCTTTTTCAAGATCACCATGAAGAAATGCGGTCTTCACATCAAGTTGTTCAACTTCAAGGTTCATACTTGCAGTCATGCCAAGTACAATCCGAATAGAAGACATCTTTACAACCGGCGAGAAAATCTCATCAAAGTCAATGCCTTTCTTTTGCCCAAAGCCTTTCACAACAATACGTGTTTTGTACCTCAGATTCTTGCTATCATTCTTCAATTTGAAAACCCACTTATTTTTCAGAATTTTCCTCCCTTTAGGCAACTTCACTAAATCATAAGTCTGGTTTTCAAACAAGGAATTCATCTCTTCGTCCATGGCCTTTTCCAATCACCTTTCTTTGCATGCTCAATTGCTTCTTGGTAGCTCTCGAGCTCCCCTTGATCGGATATCAATACAAATTCATTAGGAGGATACTTTCTTGAAGGTTGTTGGTCCCTTGTAGATTTCTTCAACTCAAGTTGTAGTGGTGGTTCTTAAGTTAAATGCTCTTCCTCAATTTCTGGCTCAACTTCATTAGGAATAGCATCATCCTCTACATCTTCAATGGGTGGCTGCACATCTCCCCTATTTTCATCATCAACTGAAGATGAAGGAGATGGATCCATGTCAATGAGGTCACTAGTTTTTGGCTCCGGTTGATCACTTTTGCCAAAGTCTTCAATTGTTTGGTCTTCAAGAAACATAACATCACGACTTTGAATAACTTTCTTGTCGACCGGATCCCACAATCTATAACCAAACTCATCATGCCCATAGCCAAGAAAAATGCATTGTCTTGACTTGCTATCAAGCTTAGACCTCTCATCCTTTGAAATGTGAACAAAAGCTCGGCAACCAAACACTCTCAAGTGCTCATAAGATACATCTTTGCCGATCCAAACTCTTTCTGGAACATCACCATTCAAAGGATAGGAAGGAGACAAATTGATCACGTCAACTGCTGTCCTCATTGCCTCACCCCAAAAGGATCTTGGCTATTTAGCTTGTGAAAGCAAACACCTTATTCTTTCCATAATGGTGCGGTTCATTCTCCCGGCAACGCCATTTTGTTGAGGAGTCTTCTTAACTGTCTTTTGGTGCCGAATACCTTGGCTATGACAATACTCATCAAATGGCCCAATGTATTCACCACCATTGTCTGATCGGATGCACTTCAATTTCTGCTATGTTTCTTTTTTAACCATGGTCTGAAAATGCTTAAATACTTCTAGAACTTGATCTTTAGTTTTTAATATAAAAGCCCAAACTTTCCTTGAATAATCATTAATGAAAGTAACAAAATAAAGTGCACCACTATGTGTTTTAACTTTCAAAGGACCACAAACATCCGAATGAATCAACTCCAAAACATTTTCTTTTCTAGAAGCAACATTTTTATGAAAAGAAACTCTATGCTGTTTACTCGCCAAACAATGAACACAAGTTTTAAGATGTGTACCTTTCAAACCGAGTAAAAGCTCTTTCTTGAACAAAACTTGTAGCCCATTTTCACTCATATGGCCAAGCCACTTATGCTACAATTCGGTAGAAGTATCATCTTCAAGTGCATTGACAACACCTTTATAAATTTTCCCTTGCATCGAATAAAGTGTATGAGTCTTCTTGTACTTAGCCACCACCAAAGAACCCTTTATGAGTTTCCATATTCTATCACCAAATTTGTTGTTGAAGCCTTCATCATCTAGCTTCCCGGTAGAGATCAAATTGAGGTGAATGTTGGGAACATGCCTCACATCTTTAAGCAACAACTTGCAGCCCAAATTTGTTTCCAAGCAAACATCACCCATACCAATAATCTTGGACAAACCTTCATTACCCATTCGAACAGAACCATAATCTCCTTTGGTGTAGGTAGTGAAGAAATCAACTCGAGAAGTCACATGAAAAGAAGCACCGGAATCAATCACCCAATTGCTCTCTTGGCCCACAAAATTGATACAATCATCTTCACAAACGACCATGAGATCATCGGTAGTAACTGCCATTGTGTCTTCTTGCTTCTTATCCACACTTTTGTCACCCATTTTCTCCTTGTTCTTGAGCTTTCGACATTCTCGCTTCATGTGCCCTTAATCATGGCAATAGTAGCACTCAATGTCTTTCTTTGAAAAAGAACCATCTCTTGATTTGTCGCGGCTTTGATCACGACCATGAGGAGTCTTACTCCTCCCCCTTGTTTTGCTTCGGCCTCTCACAACAAATGCTTTTGAATGAGAGGAACCCGCTGATTTTCTTTTAGTTTCTTCATTCAATAAGCTATTAGTGACTTGGCCTGTTGTGACAACTCCATCGGATGCCGAATTACTAACTGTCACAACCAAAGTCTCCCAACTTTCGGGCAAAGAACTAAGTAGCATCAAAGCCTGCAACTCATCATCAAAAATAATTTTCATAGAAGAAAGTTGGTTAACAATACTCTTTATTTCATTCAGATGTTTTGGAATAAGGCTGCCCTCTTTATATTTTAAATGAACCAACTTACGAAACAAAAAAGCTTTATTTGTGGTTGATTTCCTATCTTAAAGGCCTTCTAATTTTTTCCATTAATCATGTGATGAAGTTTCAGTAGCAACATGATGAAACACACTATCATCAATCCATTGACGGATAACACCAACAGCTTTTCGATTAAGCCTCTTCCATTCATCATCTTTCATGTCATCAAGTTTGCCACTATCACCCTCAAGAGGCCCATACAAATCTTTACAAAATAATAGGTCTTCCATTTTAGTTGTCCAAGTTACCCAATTGCTTCCATTGAAGCTAGACATACAACCCACATTCCCCTCCATTGATTTACACAAATAAATAAACCCTAATAAACCGTAAGCTCTGATACCAGTTGTTAGGGAAAATCTATGATTCCCCACAAGTAAATCAATCAATGGGAATAAAAACTAATACGGAAAAATTAAATCAATAGCAACACAAGAATTTTTACGTGGTTCCCTCAATGTGAGGTATGTCCACGGGATCGAAATCCGATTTCACTATCAACCAAAAAGTTTCCAAACGATTACAAACGAGACACAAATTGTCTCACAAAAACCACCCTTAGGTGACTCACAAAAACCACCCTTAGGTGAATCCCAAATAATCACAAATAAACAAGAGAAAAGACCTCACCAAATAGATGAACCAAAATCTTCGAAACCAGAGTTGAAGAAGATCCAAAATAACGAACCAAATCAACCCACCAAATAATGATCAAACAAATTGATGCTCCACAAAACAAAATCCACCGAATTGCTTGGTCAACTCAAGCACTATCTCACCAACCAAAGTGTATTTTGCTGTCGCTAATGCGTCGGATGAACATAATATATATATATATATATATATTAAATCTTGGGTTTTGTAAACAAACCCTAATTGTTACTAAACTGAATTAGGTCTCTAAAAATTAGATATAATATATTAAAATATATTATACTTAAACCAAACGTAATTAAAATTCTTTAACAAAGCAATTAGGTCTCAAACTCCAATAAGGAGATATATCCCAACAGTTTTGAGAAGATGGATGAGGAAGTGAGTGATTGTGAGAGGGCGGCGAAGAGTACGACGGTGTTGTCTATGGTAACGATAGGTTCGACGGCGGTGGTGGCGGTGGTGGGAGAGGAGGAGGTGGTGGTTGTGACTTGCGGCGATTCGAGAGTTGTGATGGAGGAGGTGTTGCAATATCTCTGTCTAATGATCATAAGGTAATTTGTAGTATAATTTTGATCCTAATAGAGATCACAATTTTGTAATATATTATTAAAATTTAAAACTTGTATAAATTTGTTAATGTCATTATGAATGCGAGATTTTTATTCTTTGAATAAGTCATGATCTTAATTGTGTAAGTTTTAAGAAAAATGAAAGAACACTAATTTACGTAGTTGAGCACGTTGTCCGTATGCTCACGAACCCAAATGTCAGTCAGTCACATTGTATTTGATTCACTCAAATAATTTACATACACAAAAACACCTATATTTATAGGTGAAGAATACAATCATATCTTGTAATTATAGGGATTAAGCCAAATCAATTATCCAAATTCAAGCCACAAATCATGCATTTGATTTGTGTAAATTGAAGAATCAATTAATCTGTAAGGACAGATTGCATCAATAACTCTAAACCCATAAACTTATCAAGATATCAATATGTTGGTTTTGATGAATCAAACGTTCGCAATTCTAGACTATTTTTGTTGATATGATCTTTTTTTTTTTTTGCACAGCCTGATAGACGTGATGAGTTGGAGAGAATCAAAGGTGCTGGTGGAAGGTTATAAACTAGAATGGGGCATCGAGTTCTTGCTACGTTGTTGTGATTTATAGATTTAGTTTACAATCTCATTAATACATAGATCATACATGTTTCCCAACAAATCACATTTCAATCGAGATCAGGGTTATACTTTATTTTTAGGCCTGTCTAAAACTCTGATACCACTTGTAAACATAAATTTCAGAACATGAAACTTCATGTTTCGGATCATCTACCATGTATATCATCAAGAAATCAAGACAAAATGACATACCTGAATTCATCGATGAACGGTTAAACAGAAGCGTCTGATTGTCAATAAAACCTTTGATATTGACTATGTTATTACCTTCTAATCCTTTCCCCTTTGGTGCCTTATGTTTTTCCTTGAGAGGATTTAGAAAACAAAATGCCAGTGTTCTTATTTTTCACTTGGGAAGGAATAGGGACCATAACCTTTTAAAGGTTGTAATTGGTTTTCAAAACTGAAAGGTTGTGGAAGTTCAAAAGGAATGAAAACCAACTTTAACCATTATTGGTTTTAATTTCTATTTATTGGTTTTCAAAACTGAAAAGTTGTGGAAGTTCAAAAGGAATGAAAACCAACTTTAACCAATATGTTTTAATTTCTATTTCTGTCCCTCATAGAAATAGAAATTATACAACTAGTATCTACACATTAGGTCCATAACACATATACCCTTAAGCCTATTAACTAAATTGAATCACTTAAATTGTAGGCTTCTTATAAATGATAACACCACATTTAATTATGTGGTCCCATTGAGACATTATCTAACACTTGCTACATCGAGATCTATAGGTATGTAGAATGTTGTTGTGATTTATAGATTTAGTTTACGATTTCATTAATACATAGATCATACATGTTTCCCAACAAATTAACCAAAACTAATTTTGCGATTTTGAGTGGTTGATTGCTTTGGATTAGGTAAATTGGATTGTTTTTTCTTGGTGTCCATTTAACATTTGTGTTTTCCATGTAATTAGCTCTCTGTGTTTGAGTTGCTTTTTGTAGACCCTGCCTAGAAATAACTGCTATTGAGCTGATTCTTTGAAAAATCATGATTGAGTTTTGTACGGGGAGCAAATATTCCGGCAAGCCCGTACTCCTTTCTTCCGAGCTCCGTTTCTGTCCGATCACCTGCGAGCAAATAACGGTGAGCTACTCGGCAGTGTGTGGCCGGAAAAACCCTCCGACGATCAAGTTAGAACACACAGGGGATAGATAGAGAGAAGGGAGAGAGTTTAGTGTTTAGTGTATGTCTCACCAAATGTTCATCTGTCCGCGTATGGGGAGCGCAGTCATGCTTATATACCTTCTGCACCCCAAATCTACTCCCAGTGATCTCTCAACACGTGGCACTGCTATCCCATCTGTCAGCATAAACCTTGCTGAGCACCACCTAACCAAACTGCCTGCCCATGCTCCTAGGAGCTCGGCAGCCGGGCAGCATCATCTCGGCCATCGTCTGCCATGCTGCGCTTCATGCCCAAGTACTCCAACAGCTAAGCTCAGATGAGGACCGGACTCGGCGGCATCTCGGCAAAGCCAAGCTCGGGACTACTCACACTTGTCTGCGGTCGACCTACCAGCCGAGCAAACAGGTACCTCGGTCCAACCTTGCCTTTCCTAGCGATGGACTTTTCACCTGACCGGCTTCGCAACCACGGATCCTTGCAACTCGGCCAATCAACGTGCTGCCTTAACCGAGCAGCTTCCATCAAGGCCGGGCCACACAACTTGGCCCAACACCTGTTCGGCCCAAATCTGTCTGGCACAACACTGTCCGGCCCAACTCTGTCCGGCCCAAATCTATCCGGCACAAATTCCATATCACTAATCTCCCTCTCAATTGCCCCTTAATTTCGTCCGCTCAAGCGTGACTGGGATTACCTATCCATACCGGGGTAATGCTTCCTCGGTTCTTAGTCTGCAAGACGGTGACCGCACCAAGAAGGCGAGCAAGGTCCGCTCCACGACTTCCTTCTTGGTCGGCACGAAACTTCCAAGGTCGGTGAGCAAGGTCCGCTCCACGACTTGCTTCTTGGCGAGCAACATCAGCTCGGCACGAAACTTCCAAGGTCGGTGAGCAAGGTCCGCTCCACGACTTGCTTCTTGGCGAGCAACATCAGCTCGGCACGAAACTTCCAAGGTCGGTGAGCAAGGTCCGCTCCGCGACTTGCTTCTTGGCGAGCAACATCAGCTCGGCAAGGAACTCCAAGGAAGGCGAGCAAGGTCCGCTCCGCGACTTGCTTCTTGGCGAGCAACATCAGCTCGGTCAAGGAACTCCAAAGAAGGGGAGCAAGGTCCGCTCCGCGACTTACTTCTTGGCGGACAAACAAGATCAGCTCGGCCAAGGAACTCCAAAGAAGGCGAGCTAGGTCTGCTCCGCGACTTCCTTCTTGGCGGACAAGATCAGCTTGGCCAAGGTACTCCAAAGAAGGCGAGCAAGGTCCGCTCCGCGACTTATTTCTTGGCGGACAAGATCAGCCCGGCCAAGGAACTCCAAAGAAGGCGAGCTTGGTCCACTCCGCGACTTCCTTCTTGGCGGACAAGATCAGCCCGGCCAAGGAACTCCAAAGAAGGCGAGCAAGGTCCGCTCCGCGACTTCCTTCTTGGCGGACAAGATCAACTCGGCCAATGAACTCCAAAGAAGGCGAGCAAGGTCCGCTCCGCGACTTCCTTCTTGGCGGACAAGATCAGCTCGGCCAAGGATCTCCAAAGAAGACGAGCAAGGTCCGCTCCGCGACTTCCTTCTTGGCGAACAAGATCAGCTCGGCCAAGGAACTCCAAAGAAGGCGAGCAAGGTCTGCTCCGCGACTTCCTTCTTGACAGACAAGAACAGCTCGGCCAAGGAACTCCAAAGAAGGCGAGCAAGGTCCGCTCCGCCACTTCTTTCTTGGCGGACAAGAACAGCTCGGCCAAGGAACTCCAAAGAAGGCGAACAACATCCGCTCCGCGACTTCCTTCTTGGCGAGCAACATTAGCTCGGCTCAAACTTCGGAGTTGAACAAATCATCAAACCGTCAGCTGGAGTAAATCAGCTCGGCTGGAACCTCGGAGTTGAACAAATCATCAACTCGCTAGCCGGAGTAAAACATCTCGGCTGGAACCTCGCAGTTGAGCAAATCATCAACTCTTCAGCCGGAGTAAATCATCTCGGCTGGAACCTCGCAGTTGAGCAAATCATCAACTCTTCAGCCAGAGTAAATCATCTCGGCTGGAACCTCGCAGTTGAGCAAATCATCAACTCTTCAGCCAGAATAAATCATTTCGGCTGGACCCTCGGAGTTGAGCAAATCATCAACCCGTCAGCCGGAGTAAATCATCTGGGCTGGAACCTCGGAGTTGAGCAAATCATCAACTCGCCAGCCGGAGTAAAACATCTCGGCTGGAACCTCGCAGTTGAGCAAATCATCAACTCTTCAGCCAGAGTAAATTATCTCGGCTGGACCCTCGGAGTTGAGCAAATCATCAACCCGGCAGCCCAAGTAAATCATCTCGGGTGGAACCTCGGAGTTGAACAAATCATCAACTCGCCAGCCGGAGTAAATCATCTCGGCTGGAACCTCGGAGTTGAACAAATCATCAACTCGCCAGCCGGAGTAAAACATCTCGGCTGGAACCTCGCAGTTGAGCAAATCATCAACTCTTCAGCCGGAGTAAATCATCTCGGCTGGAACAGAAGAGTAGGCCCCCCATCCACTATTGTTTCGGACACAACAAAGCTCTTCAGCAAAAGTAATTCACTTCTATTACATTGACAGAAAGAGTATTTGCATTCAGAAGTATAGGGGAAACAAGTCCCTCAAAAAATTACATAAGGCCGCATTCCATGGCCGGGGTACGCCTTTGCCATCCAAATCTTCTAAGTGGTATGCCCCCTTGCCCGGTTATCTTGTAAGGCTCTTCCTAGTTTGCCCCTAGCTTGCCTTCACCCGGCACTAGTGCGTTGCCCATGACCTTCCTTAAAACCCAGTCGCCCACTTGCCCGTTGCCATCGAGGTTGTCTCCGCGGTGGATGTCGCTGCATCATCCTCTACTCGGATGTGCTCATTGATGCGCTGCATTAGGTGCCACATGGATGTCTGCTGGCTCATTGTAAGCGAATCCCTCAGCCTATGTCCGAGCGGGAGACCGCGCTTATATTGCGTGATTGCAAGGTTGACCGGGCAATCCAAGATCTCGTTGAAGGTTTCCCAATACCTCGAGTTGTATGCCTTCAATGTGTCGCTCGGTTCCATCTTGACACTAAGTAAATGATCGACTTCCTTTGGTGTTTTTGTGTTGGTTTTGAAGCGCGTCACAAAGGCTTCGGCCAATTGATGCCACTGTTGTATGCTCCCTTCCGGCAACCTCTCGAACCACTTCAAGCCCAGCTCGCCCAAACTTGACGGGAAGATCAGGCACATAAGTCCGTCATTTCGCCTATGTCCGGCCATAACCTGTCGGAAGTGGCTCACATGCATGTAAGGATCGATTTTTCCGTCATAGAGTGTGAACTTAGGCTGGTGGAAGCCTGCCGGAAGCGGTGTTGTTTCTATTTCCAGGGAAAAAGGGGTGGCACTTAACCTGGCCAAATCTGAATCCACAAGGAGTGGCGCCGCTAGGCGGGGTGGAGGCATTCCGACCTCCTGGCTGGCGTGAACCCCGTAGGATAACCGCTGGAAAGTCGGTATCCTCTGTGCCTCCCGCCGGCGAGCCCGTTCCTCCAAGATTGCCCGCAAATCTTCTGATCGAGCGGAATAGGTGTACCTCGACGTCGTCGCCGGACGTGAGGGCTGGTAAATGCTATCGTGCTCGCTAGACTTCTCTGCGCACACATCGGAATCACCAACCTTGTAACTTCTGGTAATAGAGATGGACGGTGTGTGCTGCTGACTCCAACTACCTGAACGGCGGGGTTGGGTGCGCTCACTGTGGTCGCCCACTCCAACTACACCCTTCCCTTTGACATGCCGCTTCAGCTCCTCCATCTCTGCCGTCATTCGCTGGATGAC